GGAAAGGGAAGCTGATAGTTCCCTCCCCTCCTTCCCCCCCCCCCCCCAAAAAAAAAATATTAATAATAACCTCCCCAACACAGGGTCATACATTTTTTATATCTCCGAAAGCTTATATATATATATATTCACAGTATAAATTTTTTAAAGGAGGGGGTATCACATCCCTTGCCCCTCTAGTGAAGGTCCTGTATTCATGTGTTGCAAGGAAACCAGGGTTACTCAACAAAGGTTGGCGGATTTGTCTTCATGAGGATTTGCAGAGTCACTGAATACATTTACAAACCCATTTCAATGCTTCAGTGAATTTCTAGAACACTCTAGGCTTGATCTCATGGACAGTTCACAGTCAAGAAGGGAATAGCTCCCTCTTCTGACAAAATACAGTAAAAGTGTCAGCCATTTGTGCTTTTGAGGATACAAGAAGAAGAAAAAAATGGAAATAGATTACATGAATTTTACTTTGTAATTTAGAGGTGGATGTACCAAATACAAACAAAATTACCTTGAAAAATACTTGTGCTAATTATCGTAATGAGTATACGAAAAGAAAAAAGAATGAAAAGAAAACAATGGAACTCATCTCAATAACAGTTAAAGGAAACCAAAACCTTCATACTAAGTTACTTTTATTGTAAAGTTTAAGATGTTTGAAAAATATTAGTGAAAAATTGGGCAAGGAATAAGGAGGTAAGAGCTTTTTGTAATTACTAGTCACTAGAGGGCGGTATTCAATTTGATGACATCATCTGTGGACAACTCTCCATGCCTTTTGTACATCAAATTTCATGTTTTTCCTTCTTTCTTGTGATTGAGATAATGCAATCCCCTGAAAGCAAGATATAAAATGCAAAATGATATTTTACTTCACATGTTATGAAGTCGGATCTAGAACACAAATAAATACGAAGAAAACAACAAAATTGTGAAATTCTATATACAAAAGGCATGGAGAGTTGTTCACAGATGATGTCATCAAATTGAATACCGCCCTCTAGTAACTAGTCATTTCAAAAAGCTCTAACTTTCTTATTCCTTGCCCGATTTTGTTCAAATTTTCACTGATTTTATTCAAATCATTTAAACTTTACAATAAAAGTAACTTAGTATGAAGGTTTTGGTTTCCTTTAACAAATAAATGTGAAAGAACGAATGGGATCGGTACGGTATAAAGGATCCCCATCAATATCTTGTCAAGCCTGTGATATCTTTGTTAATTGATCTAACCTCTTATGTTTCTTTGCTTTCTTCAAGTGATCTCACCTATTAAGCTATTAAGTTAATGTGTATACTTTGAAGGTGCTTGTTTCAATCAAGTCTTTGTAATCTGAAGTTGTTGTTCTGGCCATCAAGAAATACTTATGTGTTTCCTTTTCTTGTGGAACTCTGACACTGTCTGTTCTTTAGTTACTTTCAGTTATCACCCTTATAATTATCATAATTATGATCTGGTGACGATGGTGATAATGATGATGATGGTAATGATTGTGATCATCATTATCATTATCACCAGCATCATAATCATTACCATCAGTATCATGATCATCACAATCATTATCATCATTATCATCATCGCCATCACCATCACCATCATCATCATCATTGCCATCACCATCATCATCATTATCACCATCGTCACCAGATCATAGATAATTATGACGATGGTGACGATGGTGATAATGATGATGATGGTAATGATTGTGATAATCATTATCATTATCACCAGCATCATAATCATTACCATCAGTATCATGATCATCACAATCATTACCATCATCATCATCACCACCACCACCATCACCATCATCACCATCATCACCATCATCACCACCACCATCACCATCATCACCATCATCACCACCACCATCACCATCATCACCATCATCACCATCATCACCATCCTCACCACCACCATCACCATCATCACCATCATCACCATCATCACCACCACCATCACCATCATCACCATCATCACCATCATCACCACCACCATCACCATCATCACCATCATCATCATCATCACCATCATCACCACCACCATCACCATCATCACCATCATCACCATCATCACCACCACCATCACCATCATCACCATCATCATCATCATCACCATCATCACCATCATCATCATCATCACCATCATCACCATCATCACCACCACCATCACCATCATCACCATCCTCACCACCACCATCACCATCATCACCATCATCACCATCATCACCACCACCATCACCATCATCACCATCATCACCATCATCACCACCACCATCACCATCATCACCATCATCACCATCATCACCACCACCATCACCATCATCACCATCATCACCACCACCATCACCATCATCATCATCAGCATCATCATCAGCATTATCCCCATACTCCTCATCATTCTCATCATTATCATTATTATCATCATAATAGCCATTCTTGATATCATCAGTATTATTTTATTATTAACTTAGGTCTGCTTTTCTATACTCTACAGATATAAAATACTTGATGAGAGGAGGAATCTGTCAAGTTCCAGAATTTAAGAATATGATTCATCATTCACGTAACAATAAACTGCAGATAAGAACACATTGAACTTTTTCTGTTACTAAAAGCCTTTTCATATGAGAGAATAAATGAAAGTATAATGAACTTACTGGTACAGCAAAATATGCATACCGTACATACTTGTATGGGAAAATATCTGTGAATAAATGTCATAAAAAATAAATGAAACTTGTTTGAGAAGTGAAAGTAGAATAGCAGGGCCATGTACCACATTAGCATAACGAGCTGACCCTGAAATGTTACCAAAAACCTATACTTTACTACACAACATTTCATAAAACAGTCTACAACTTTAGCATCCACAGTGTTATTTAGTATCAAATAGTGTTTTCATATTAAAGAGATAGTTAGTTGAACTTTTTTTCCTTCAGTGTAGGATATTTTCAATAAAAAATGTTAGCTTTATTAAGGGAACAAGGCTCTGTTTTCATGAGAGATTGAAAATGAGGAATTGGCTAATGATACTCCCGAGATGTATATCCTGCAGATGTTATGAGCAATTCCCACCATGTGCAGTTAATTAATATCCTTTTATTTAATCTTTCATAATTTGTGTATGTTTTCATAAGAGGCATTATCGGCTTAGTAAAGGAAGCTCTCAATTGCTCCCTCGATCTGTCCAGAGGCCTTATCATTTTCGATCAACTGCAGACACACACAAATAATTTGTATGTCTTTAGAATGAATAGCATCACCCCATGGGAATCATTGCACAATAGGCCTTTTTCGGAATGTATCCAAATCGATGCATATGCCTTTGTGAAGCACCACAATACAAATTATTTTAATCACCTGTTATGAATAAATGTATCTCAATAGTCAGAATGTGAATTGCATAGAAATATACATTAGCTGTTGATAGGTGGTACAAACATTATGGCTTATCCTACCTAGCAACATGTATATGCAATTTGCATTCTGACTACCGGTATTGAAATACAATTATTCACATCGGGTGAATGAAATCATTTGTACATTATGAAAATGGCCTATCAACTTTTGTGTGTTTTGGGGTCCATACAACTACATCAACTAGTTTTACTAACTGTTTGATTTCACAGTTACCGGTATATTATTAAAGTATATACAGTCTATAATATCTGCATCTAAACTTAAAGCTTCTTCTTGATAAAGTATATTGATTCTGAACAGCAAAATTAGACAGTCCATGGTTTTCTATCATTGGACCCCTCTAACTTGATTTTTCTTGTATTTAATCTCTCATGTATAAAAAAAAAATGTTTCAGATCTTCACTTCAGTGATCTAGAAATTAACTGATTAAAGTTTTGATGGTTTGTTAAAAGTAGAAAGGAGTGAGATTGGTAACGGTAAACCAAATGATGACTGTGAGTGGCCCAAATTGCACCCCTCCCCACCCTTGAATGATACCATACAATAGGAATAGAGCATCTTATAGTCTACAATTAGCTACTAGTCTAAGATAAATGTAACGTATTTGTAAAATTTCAAAGGGGGTAAAATAAAAAGTCCATAATTTCCCAAATTTTCTTGCAAGAGATGAGGGTAAATTCTGGAGCTTTCGTAGTTTTCTTTCTTGACATTTCTTGTATATTTTTGTATTTTGTTAAATCTGTTTTTGTCCAGAAATCCAATTTCTGGCCTTATGATTAAGATTTGTCAATGTTTTCACTAATGTAATTGACCCATCATTGACTATAACAGAAAAGTTTCGCTACATTTAATGTTAACCTCATAATCTAAAAAGAAGCATGATTTTCTTAAGTTATAAATAATTTTACAAGTGAAAATCACAGGAAATAATTGTTTCTTGACTTTAGGGTGATTAAGTAGAGTCTGATTACAAAGACTATGTGTCCTCACATGGGGTGTCATGGATGGGTAGTATTGAATAGAAACATAATAGTTTGGTCAAACCATTGAAATGGAATTTCAAAGGTTTGGGAAACCAAGTGTTGCAGTTGAACGTGTTCACATGGTAGGGAACCAGTCACTCTTTTTCAAGATTAAAAATGTGTATTGCATTATTTGCAAGGTAATATATTTCATTATACATATAAATGTAAACCAATCATGAAATGCAAATGATAATGGAGATGGTAGACCTTGGTCTTGTGTTTAATAATATCCTAACACTTTTATATAGGAAGTTTTTTCTTATTATTCCTTATTTCCTTTGTATTCTTGTAAGACAGATATATCTTATTTATATTCTTTTGAAAGAAAAGGATTAATTAATAAACAAAAGTTTATCTTGAATGATGATCTGCAGTGAAATAGAAACTATACCTTACATAACAGACCAGTAGAATTAGCATGGCATCTTCTTTGAAATGACTAGTTCTTCCTTCTGCCTAGCTATAGTCATTTGTTTACTGATTAAATTGTACATGACTGTCTGTCATTGATATTCATCTATAGAAATGTATAAAGTTGATGTTGCTCTATTTCCCGATGATTATGCATGAGCCCTCTTCATACAGAGCCATTGACCTGCATTTGAATGAAAGTAGGTTACGCCGTGTGAACACACACTATGCCTTCTAAACAAGCACTCGTTAAGCTACCCCTCTATTGTGCTTGTGTGGGAGAGTGTATAATGCAAGCCTAAATACGCATAGTTCATCGGTAAGGAAGTGGCGTTCGTAGCGACGGTGGCTTTTGTACGTTGGTTCTTACGCAGCAGCACGCGAGCTAGGGAAGCGGTGACGAGGTTTGAATAGCCCTATGATGATTCAGTCTTCAGTGTGTGCTGTAAGATAGTTGACTACAAGCATAGTACCAAGCATGGAATCTTCTTAAATGGATTATATATATCATGGATAACCAGACTCCTATCACTGGTAAGTTATTATCATTCTATCTTACTAGTCCTGTGATCTTATATTCATTACTGATTTAACTTAGATTCATATATCACAATATTATTGTTAAGTGCAATTATATAAATATGTAATATATATGTAATTCATGTCATTTTTTTTCTTATTACTGCTGTAGATGTAAATAATTCACGATTTCTCATTTTCTGATGGAGCATATATTTATTTATTACAATGCATTTGATTTATGTATGATATAAATAGTGCTCATAGATAATGCATTAGCCAAGGTTATGAGATCTGTGAGTGAATGATAACCATCTTATTGATGTTTTTTATTGATTGGAGTAGTCATCACGTTCTACAGTCTATCATCCTATCATCCTATCACACTAGCTCTATATAGCAAAACCAATGATGGTAGACAATACTAGGCTCATATATGAGCTGTCAGGAATTATATGATTTGCACGTAGATAAGACATTGCACTAGATTTAACAACATTTTGTATCATTACAAAAAATTAATTTTACAGCGTTATTACTTGTAGATGAAGTGAGGAATGTTTTGATCATTCTCCATTAACAAGTATATCATAATTTGTATTGATAGCTATGAAACAAATAAATTATTTGTTAATGCAAATCTGTAGTATACATTTGTATTTAGTTTACCGGTACTATGTATTTACATCACATCAACCATTTCAATTTAAAAGAAACACACACAAAGAAGAAATCAATTTGACAACATTTTGTAATTGTATTGACAGTTCTTATTTATGTTCTGAACATCCCTCCTTAAAAGAAGAATTTTTTGTTTGAATTATTATTTTACAGCTGAATTCTTCTTCTTCTTCTTCTTCTTAACAACATCGTTAATTTGGATTAATCTAAATCTCAACTAAAATTATTATCACTTGAGCATTACCAAATATATTTTACTAATAAATATTCTATATGTTTTCAAATTCAACTTGTAGAAAGCGCTGCTTGGAATTAGATATAAACTCTCTTAACAAAAATGTTTATCTGGTGTACCTTCTTTATTTTCTATCACACTTTTTTAGAAATATATTATCATTAATGTAACATAACAAGCAATATATAACAGCAGCTATACATACTGAATGTATGGAACAGCTGATGCCTGTACAAAAGCTGCTCTAAAACAACAAGTAGAAATCTATAATGGATTGAACATTCAACAAATTAAAAAATTGGCAATCACTTTTGTTAATGAGATCTGGCAAAACAAATTTGTTTAGTATCCAGCAATAGTGGTCATAAACTGACTGACTGCCTGCCTTAATTAAACAACAACAACACAACATAGAAGATTGTCTGACAACCGAGTGCAGTGTATCCTAAAATAGATATAATGTTCTGGTCATTTAAAACTAACCAGTAGACCTTCTCTCATGATGATATATACTTCCTACAGAAAACATCTCACAGTTAGAAGGATGTATGGACTTAATGCCTTCTACGTCTTATATGACCACCGCTTCTTACAAACATTCTCAGCCTAATTAACTAGCCGGACATTTCATATCCATCTGTTCTATTAATGAGTTAATTTAAAGAGCTGTTGACAAAAGATAATTATGGGAAACAGTTTAAGAGAATTATTCCACTCAGGTCATGAGGTAGTGAAAGCTTTCATGTAGATGATCATTGTAGATTTTCATATGATTGACATAACTGATTGGTGACATTTGATGAACCCTATTAATTTTTGGAATACCCACACTTTTTAAACTCCTGAGTTTCAATATAAATCTTTGGAGTAGATTGTCATCATGTAGGCCTCCTATTATAAGATTGGCATTTACTTCTTGTATTTTCTTATAGTTATTATTTTGTATGTACCTTTCGATATCTTTAATAATGTTGGGTAAATTCTACTCAGTGTTTATTTTGCTTGTCACGTTGGACTAGTTTAGCCACTATTAAAGCAAGTGTAGCTGACTAGTTTGGAACCCAGTAGGTGCAGCGTTGGGTCATGGACCTACTACAAGCGTTAGGTAAAGACCTAATGTCTACAATCTTTGAGAGAGGAACAAATATAGAGATTGGATGATGTTCTTAGATTGAATGTGGCACCTTCCAAATAGAAAAGCTTGAAAGTCTAGAGCAAACAAGATGATCGTTTGATAGAACTAAATTTCTAAAGAATGGCAGACGCTATTGCAATCCGTAGCTTCTGTTTAACATTATTCTGTAGCATGCCATCCCATGCCGTCTCATTAACAATTTGAGTTTACCCCTTACCAATGTACAGTAAACAACTATATTTCTCATACCCTTACCAATTTTTGTAGTGTTTTAACCATGGGCCCTACAACAATATGTGCAAAATTTGCTTCTTCACGATTTATTTATGTTTCATGAGAATGTGATATATTAAACCTTACATCTAAAAGCATTCAACAAAGGCCCTCATTCAATCAGCAAGTCCACCTTTCATGCTTGAGTTACGAAAAATCCAATCAAATTTACAAGGGTTATGGATAATTCAGTTGATAACTGTAGTCTGTATATAGTAAAGACTATTCCTAAGGATATAAAAAGTTGTGAAGATATATCGTCCCTATTTTCACGAAGTGACGGTAGTGAGGAAAATCGTCACGCAAAGTGAACGCAATTTTTTTTCACTACCGTCACTTCGTGAAAACAGCGACGATATACTCCAGTACGTCCCATCCATGTTTATTTATATATTTTTTTAGGGGGTGGGGGCTGCCTTGAATACAAACTACATGAGTATGAGATCATGTACCTGACCTTGACCTAAAGCATGGTTTGTGTGTAAGCTAGCTTGCATTGATCTTGTCATGAACCAGCTAGTTTAGGGTGTTTCCCTTTTAACCCCTATCCCTTCACTCAGCAGGCCTCAATCTACATATCTTCCCTCGGATTATATTAGTACAAAGTTCTCCTCATGCAAGCTTAATAATGAAGCGGAAAAGTGTTTAAAAATAATTCTGAATAGTTAATGTTGAAGTGAAAAACAAGGATTTTGCTTAGACCAGCCACATGTTAACAAAATTATGAAAACACCAACACAGATATGAAATGGAAACAAATTTGTATATTTTCTCTTGTATATTAAACTGCATATATGATTATTAGTAGTATTATGAATTCAAAAAATATATATTATTGTTTTTATTTTAATCAGTATTAGTAGAAGATGAAGTAGTAGTAGTAGTAGTTAGTAGTGGTTAGTAGTAGTAGTAGTAGTAGTAGTAGTAGTAGTAGTAGTAATAGTAGTAGTAGTAGTAGTAGTAGTAGTAGTAGAAGTAGTAGTAGAAGTAGTAGAAGTAGTAGTAGAAGTAGTAGTAGTAGTTGTAGTAGTAGTAGTAGAAGTAGTAGTGATATTATTATTGTCATCATTATGGATATTAATGATGATATTATCTTCATTATAAAGTCATCAATTTACAGTAGATTTATCTAGGAGTCAATTAATGTGTGACCAATTTTAGATGGAAATGCCACCCTGATAATTTATGTTGTTTTCACAAAAGTAATAAAAATAATGAGAGAAAAGGATCAGGAAAATATGAAATAGATATGAAAGTTGCGAATTCTAAAATTATATTGAAAATTCTCATATCTCAATTTGTTGTGGTTCATAAATTTTCTTATAAAAGAGGGTTGTGTAAGTATATATGCCTGCAATTCACCTAGAGCATACAATGTAGGTGTAATAAAATACATGTCTTTTCTTTGTCTAGATAAGAATATAGAAAGACACAAGAATTTTAGTGCATAACATTACATTAAGTATATTGATAAATTGAAGATATAAGACTATTTTTATATTAAACTTTCTATGTTAATTAAGATATATTTTCTTTGATGTTCCTGGACAAAAAAAAAATCATATTCATTGTGATTTTTCACTGTTCGTCTTTAATATATAAACATTTCAGTGACATATTAACTATACATGCTTACATGTCCAATGTCAAGATAAAATGTCATTTATCAAATTACAATTGAAGAGTAATTTAATGTACCGTAATCGTATTTGGGACTGTAAAATTCAAAACTATTACTATAGTAACTTTACCAACCAGTGCCTCATATTTTTATGCTCTTGTTCAAATAAACTTCATGTTAGTATGGACTTTCCACATGCTTAACCAGACATCAAGTAGTGAAGATTTCTGTCAGAATTCTTAGAAAAATCTATATAATTTCAATTTAAGTACTTCATTTTATAGATAATATGGAATGATTGAAACTCTGCAGTTACATGTACATTGTAATATTGTTGAAAATTCATTAGGTTTGCATTTATAACCTGCCGTCCATAGTAAGCATGTGTGAGTCTATACACAGCTTTAAGAAGTGGGATTATCCCTCGCTGTGGAGGTGCCTCAAGCTACTAGCAGTAGTTTGTATCACTCAAAGTGATTGTAGGTAATGAGTCGAGACCTTCAACATGATCAATCATCATGTGCGCACATAGTCTTCCGTAAAGTTATCCTGTAACAATGTTGAGGGTTGATGAAAAAATGCCTAATGTTTGTATGAAATGTTACTTATTATATTCCTTCTACTGTACTTACCCCCTAACATGCAAAAAATCCTGTAAAAATTATCAAACCTCAAAGATATTTCTGGTTTTCTTTGAAGGCATCAATGTGTAATCCCCTCTAACAGTTAATTCTCAAACCAATTTTTGAATGTTCCCAACCATTTTCCCCTGAAAATAAGACGTAAAACAGGCTTTTTAAAATCCTTCAACACTTAAATGTTTGGAATGGTATATAGAGCTAATTCATTGCTATGTGACGAATGACATTCACCTAAAATTTAATTTAATTATAATAATATAGTTGGGAGAATTTTGGAATCGATCAGAACAGTTTTCCCCAATTTTTAATTTAATAATGGTCTGTTTTCGCCCGAACTTTCAGATTATCTTTAATTATACATCTAGCATTGAAGTTACTACCTTAGCACTTTCTTTCATCTGAACAATTTTACAAAGTCCCTTTTAATTAATTTATGAAGAGAAATTCAACCCTTGTAATAAGTTCATTAGTATGGAAGCAGAAAAATTAGAGAAACCGAAAGGCGAAAGTTTGAGTAAAATAAGACCGTTAAAATGAGAGAGTTATATGTCTGTTTGAAAGATGAAATCGCTATAACTATCCAAATCTCAAATTAGCAATTTTGTCAGTGGATTATGATGTAGTCACAGACAACTCTCCTGTTTGTTGTGGACATATATTTCATTAATTTTTGATTTCCTCCCATGTGCTTTCTCCCTTGGGACATATAACTCAAAATATATTAGGGATAGTATATTGATATAGGATCCTCTGAAAAGAAATGATCCTTTTGAGTCATACATTTTGAAAAACATACCGGTAATACATTTTAGTCATTTTGTGGGTTGCAACAAATGGGAAAGTTGCCCGACATTACACCACAGTGACATTACTGATTCAGCCTATTTGAAATTCCCATATGTATAATGATTAAAACTTTCTTTAAATATTTCTGTCCAATTTTGTTCAAACTTTCACCATTCACCTACTTCTCTGATTTTTCTGCTTTCTTTTAGAGTTGTTTGCTTTCAAGATTGGATTTCCCTTAAAGAAATATTGTACTGTTTAAAGAAAGGAAAAATTGAATTTATACAGGTTTAGCTTAAAGAGCCTATCCAATGATATGATTGGAAAACTGAATGAATGTAGAATACAAATAGAAAGGAATAAAAAGTATATACCCTTACATTATAGTGCACAAAAGCAAATTATGGGTCAACAGGGGTCAAATTTGCTGAAGTTACAGGGATGACATAACATGTGGTCCCAACCGGCATATAAAATATAGCTGAGGCGATGAGCCATGCTTAATTAATGCAAAGTCATTGTGAGTAACTGAGTGTTCATACTCCACATGAGATGATGTCATCAAGTCGATATCAAGTTTTTAGGTTGACAACTTCCAATTTCCAAAGCTTTAGAATTTGAGTTTTCAGAGAGCTAATACTCTTCTGACAGACACTATAATGGCATATAATTGATATTATTGTAATCTAGGGCTTATAAGCTTTCCGTTGATATATAATTTCATCCATTTCATTTTTCAGTTCAAATATGGTCTTTAAAGGGAAAATTATTGAATGTCATAAAAACAAGTTTGCCTCTTCTCTTTCACACTTAATTAGATGAAAGAGATTTATACCTAAATTGCAAAATCGATAGGGCTGAGGGTCACTATTTATGGTTAGAAACATTTACTGTTTCATATTCTATACAAATGCTTTGTTGCAGGTCAAAATATGATCATTCTGTGTAGATGTAATGAATCCCTGATTTTGCAATTAGATTACTGAATTCATGAAAGAAGATAATGGTCTAAAAATGACATAATGAGAATGAAAAATGATATATACGTGCTGTTCATTTAGTTATTGACTGATTTGAATATCCTGAGTTGTAGGTTGTTTTTTGTTCTGATATTATTGCTTTAAATATTCATTATCTTCTGTTCTAGATTGCTTTTCATCTTGTTCATGGGTTACTGATCCAATTTAAAAAAAAAAAAGGATGTCAACCTCTGAACTGAGGCAAAGGAGACTCTGAGTAGGACCTAAGAATAGATCTATTGTTTAGCCTTTATTGTTCATTACATCAGCAATTGTGATAATCAATCAATAATCTTATTCAAGTGAACTTGTTTTGTCAGTTCATTGAAGCTTGAAATCACACACCTGACTTTGCTTCTTCCATATCTAGCCAAGAGTGAAATAAGGTCCTAAAGAGAAGGTAGCTACACATTTATCTTCTACATGTATTTATAACTTTTTTTTATTTTTCCTGAATTATATTTTGAGTGTTACATTGGCAGATTGAATCATTACTTACAAAATTGTTCTGATATATTTTTACCAGGTTTTGTTATGTCATCTTGCTGTGTCATTATCAATCTTTAACATGTTTGTGTTTCTTGTCTTTCAGCTATGTATGGGATATGAGGTGAGTCATCATGGAGATACAACAGAGAAGGGGTCACCAGTCTGGTTACCAGCCAAGGACTGAGAATGGGACCGGCTACCAGTCTTCACAGAGCAAGGAGAGATCTGAAGGAGGAATGTCCAAACAGGACCTACTTCAGAGATTAAGAGCAAACAAGAACCGCCAGAATGATCAGCTTGTTTCCAGGACAACTAGACTATCCGACAGACCGCATAGTGGTCCAAGTCCTACAGGGAGACCACAGCCTGGTACTAGTCCTCCAGGAAGACCACAGTCTGGTACCACTCCTCCAGGAAGACCACAGTCTGGTACCACTCCTCCAGGAAGACCACAGTCTGGTACCACTCCTCCAGGGAGACCACAGCCTGGTAATAGTCCTCCAGGAAGACCACAGTCTGGTACCACTCCTCCAGGAAGACCACAGTCTGGTACCACTCCTCCAGGAAGACCACAGTCTGGTACCACTCCTCCAGGAAGACCACAGTCTGGTGCAAGTCCTGCAGGTAGACCACAGCCTGGTACTAGTCCTCCAGGAAGACCACAGTCTGGTACTAGTCCTCCAGGAAGACCACAGTCTAGTGCTAGTCCCACAGGGAGACCACTGGCAAGTCAAGACCGTGTGCGTGTTGAGGTCCAGGTCCATGCTAGGATGAATCCAGATCAAACTTTAGAAAGGACAGATATTCGTAGGAGAAGACGTTCAACTCAGCCACAAAGTGGCACAGAATCACACATTCTAGAACAACAGAAAAATGGCCCTGTTGCACCACCTAGAAAGAGATATTCCACTGATGATGTATTGCAAGAGAGTCCTGATAGCAAGCAACAGGATGTTCAAAAGGAAGAAAGCATTCCAAGACCAATGCCTCGACAACGACGTTCACAGAGCCACGATCGTGGATTGACACAGCAGAAAAGATCTGATGCTGAGAAACAGGTCTTATTAAAACAGTATGAGCTTTTACAACAGCAGAAAAATCAACAAATAGAGAAAGAAAGGCAACAGCGGAGTACAAGAGAAGTGCAGAAAGTGAAAGTCAAGCAGGAGTTGCAATTTTTAAGTGAGCAGGAGCAGAGAGTTGTCCATAAATTACAAAAGTTTGAAGATGGGTCTTCCACTGAGCACAATGTGAACTGGGTTCGAAAGCAACAAAAGATGTTTGACAGGCAGCATGATATAAAGATTCAAGGAGATAAGAAACATCAGTACCTTGAAGCAGCCAACAGAGCCATGCAAGAAGAACGACAACAGGTACAACACCAGCAACAGGTACAACACCAGCAACAGGTACAACACCAGCAACAGGTACAACGCCCGCAACAGGTACAACGCCAACGGAGGAGGCGCCCTCAACCTGAGTCCGCACCACAGGAACAGCAACAGTCAACTCAACAAGCGAAATACAGACCACCTCCAGTTATGCCAAAACCTCAAAGCCCAGAGCAGATGATGGCTCAATCAGTCACGAGACAGAAAACAAGAAGTCAAGATCAGTATTATCATTTGCAACAACAACAACAATTACATCACCAAAATGAAAAGATTAGATTGCAGCAAGAGAGATTAAAACACAACCAGGATCGGTCCAAACAAGAATCATCTTCTAGTCACCTTCTTAATCCGGGACACCAAGATCAAAGAAGCAGGAGACCATCAGCGAGAAACAGTGAAGCAAGCAATCACAGCCAGAGTTCTTCCGATTCCGGTGAAGTTCGTTTACTGAATTACAAACGTAGAGGTTCTCTTGTAGATGTCCAGCCTTCAAAAGAACACACTAAACCTCATATAAAAAATCCAGTTGCTAGACTCTCCCAAGCCTTTAGGAAAGGTACTTCACCCCCAGCTCCACAAAAACAAACTGAGAGCAATGTCTCAAGTAATCTCAGGAGTCTGGTAGAACAGTCTAAGTCATCTTCTTTAAAGAGAGAAGGAATATCCAGTCAACAAATGGAAGAGATTATTAAAAGAACAGCTGAACGCATGAAGCTAGAGCAAAAGCAAATGAAAGAGGCTGAAGCGAGGCTAAATAGTAGTCAGGAACGCCCAAGACGTAGAAGAAGAGAAAGCCAAGGGATTGAGGAGAGTAAGACGCAGCAGACGACGGGAAACGAGAATCGGGTTACGAACATCAAAGCAGGAAGTAGTTCATTGGATGTTTACAACGCTCCACATGCGGATATGACAAGGCCTCAGGATCAAGGGTTACACAGGGTTAATGATAGAAAAGATAATCTTGTGGCTGAATCGAAGACTAGTTCAGAGATCAATGCCAGCCCTGAGATCGTTTCAGGTGCAAGAAGTGGGGCAGATGAAAGTGATGGGTATAGAGGAGTAACCATGGTTACGGAGACTGCTCATCAAAAGTCGCATCATGACACAGAAATGAGAGGTAAACTAGGAGTTAGTAAAGAGCTTGAAGGTGATTGTAAGATAAGATCAGAGGATGACCAGATCAGTAAACTCAGTGCTATAGAAGAAGAGAACACGCCAAGAAGTGATAGTAGACATAACTCAATAGAGGGCGCTATTATATCTTCTGTAGCAAACGATATCCAATCAGATGGTGAGGATAAAGCTTTAGATGAAGCTCTTTGTTTACTTCATGAACTTGCCTCCACTCAGGTTACAACAGATACCAAATCAGTAGAATTCCCAAACAATATATCTCAGAGTAATATTAAATCTCATGAAAGTAAATCTCGAGATAATAGGCTCACGTCTTCACTGTGCGAAATAGAATCCACGTCTCCTGAAACTCAGGGTAAGAAATCTGAAAATAAATGTCTGGATATTAGAGAGTCTTCTTCCACTCCACAGGGAATAGAAACCAGATCTCTGGAGAATAAATCAACCTCACACAATAATGAGAGCAATGATGGACAGGTCTCCTCTCTCAATGGTAAACCCATTAGCGATAGTGTGAAAGTGAGCCCAAAGAGAGCATTAGCTACCAGTCTTCCTGACTCTGTGATAAGGAATGTGAGTGTCGAGGGCACACGTGTAGACAAGGCCCAAACAGAGGAAACAGCGCTCAGTAGAAATAAACATAGAGAGGAAATACAGCCTATAAGCAATGCTGCCATTGGAACGATAGAGAGGCGTCATGAAGAGCTAGCTCGTACAGTGACTCCTATACCAGAAGTGATAGACGGTGAACCGGGAGAAGACGGGATCGCTATCCGTCGTAAGCGCTTTGTCAAGCAAGTAAGTTTCCATGCTGAGTCTGGTAGACTACAGCAAGTGATAGGAGAAGCAGACAAAGAGAGCTCACCTCCTGAAACACCTCAAACTGAGACATCACCGGACTCACAGAAGAGAGGTATTCTAGCGAGAGGGCGCTTCTCAGGTAAACGTGATCATCCAAGCCTGTCCAAGAAGACCGGTGAGATGTATCGCAGACCGAAGAGTGCCATCTTTGACATTGTGATTCGCAAGCAAACGGATAGCAAAGAGAAGAGCGATGGAGGACGACAAAGGCCGATGAGCGCCCTCTATATTTCGGAAGGAGACGCTGATCCGACTGAACGGGGAAGGCCGCTACCCAAGCACTATCGGCCTCAGAGCGACTCTTTGATGCAGTTAGATAAGTTTGATAGCCTTCAAATCAAACCCAAACCAAGAAGAGAGCGATCCCCAAGTCCGGTAAGATTATGTTTCAACCGTATTATGTCTTTGTACTGTTACCAATGGAGTTACACCTTTATACAGATTTAATTGTGTTGGTGAGGGGGGGGGGGGGCACGGTCATTTTATGACTCCCATCCCCCTACCCCATTGGTGATACTAACATTACACATGAATTGGTCTAATCTGGTACTGGTTCTAATGACATACTCATCCTTACAGTTACATTCTTACCTAGGTCATGGGGGCCGTCCCTAATACGGAGGCCCACATTACGTCTGAAAAATGTGATTTGTTTTTTATTGGGCTCTTATCCTGAAAATATGATGGTTCTAATCAGGAGCAGAAAAATGAGAGAAACAGATCGGTGAAAGTTTGAGGAAATCTCATAAGAATAAGAAGCTTGTGAATTTATAGTTTCAATCAATAAAATTGCCAACCCTCTGGTGAACATATTGAGCATCTCTCCCATAGGTGAAAAATTGATCTTATTTATAGATGTGATAATTAAAAACTTGTATTCACTTGAATCAGGTATGTTGACATATTTTTTTGGAGTAATTTAACAACAAATTAGAGAGGTTTTCAAATGGCTCATTCAGGAGTTGCCAATTCACATTTAATTGATTACAACTTTAAAAAATCATAGCTTTCATATCCTTTATTGGATTTATGATGCAGCCCACGAAACCAACAGCCAACAGAACAACAATGTACTTGTTTCATTCTTAATTCTCCTCTGTTCATTTGTTTTGTCACTGTTGTGGTCTCTCTGTCTTGTGGAGTGTTAGTCAAGTGAACCTTTTTGTATACTCTTGGGCTTTTGATCTATGATGACCCTCTGATGTTCCTCAAACCATGGACCCTACCATAAATGGACATCCATGCTCAAACATTCACTGATCTCTTTCTCTCACTTTTCTGCTTATAATCAAACCAACTTATTTATTTTCAGGAAGGACTTCCTCTTTCATGATATTACAACTTCTTTCGAACTATATCATAGCGTGTGGTGGGCTTAAAACTGTCATCCACTTCTAAGAATCGGTGATGAGGTCTATCTTTTTTAAGTTTGGTTGACCCTTGCTTATATATAATAAAACCATTCATTAATTTTCAGGAATTACTTCCTCTTTCATGTTAGTACAACTTCATTCAAAGTGTATCATAGTGTGTGATGACTGATGAGCTTGAAACTGTCATCCACTTCTCAAATAATGATGAGGTCTATATTTTCTTAGTTTGGTTGACCCTGTAAACTGAGAAAGGAGAAAGAAAGTTGTAGTGGTGCTGTCTATTATATATAAACAGATATTTGACAAACGAGCTAGTGAAACTCAGAATATGAGGTATTGCAGGAAACCAGGATATCATTATGAGAACATCAATATTTTTCTTTCTCAGAGATGGATCAAGGATAGACTGCATGAGGATTAGAGTGTGTTGAGTCTCTCATGTGGTGATGATATAATGTTAGATAGACATGATCATTAATCACATGAGATGAGGCACTCAGAGGCAGACATTCCCTCTATCTATATTCCTTTACGCATGCCTTTCCAATTCCTTCTTCTCTATATAAGTCAGTTGACATATTGCATAGTCATGCTTGGTATTGAATACACAGAATACGTATATAATCTCTTTGGATTGTTTTAGCTGTTATTGTAGCCATGATGACTTTCCCCATACATACTTTAACTTGAACCTGAATTTGATATGTATTATCCAATAATAAACACATAACAATAGGCATAAACAGGTGTATATAAATAACATAACAGGAAACAGAAAATAGCATGGCAAACTTGGCACCTTCGAACGTACAAATCACGGATTCATTATAAATTGTATTCCCTTCCACTTCCTTATCGAGGAGATTTGTACTTTTTTACAGGAAGTACTATTAATAGATGGCTTTATGATACCCATTACCTTGTATGTATGTGTTTCATTGTATGTGGGTGTATGGTGGGTGTACGGTGGGTGTATGGTGGGAAAGAAAGCTATGCATTTTCATGCAAAAATAAATCCGATCAACGATAATGGACTTTCTAAAATAAGATGTGAAATGAACAACCAAAAACTGGAAAAAAAATCTGAGGATCTCCCAGTTGAAAAACAGATTGGAGCAGAGAGTATAAATTTATCCACATATATATTAAAGTAGAGAAACCTACAGATATTGCCCCTGTGGAAATTTATAATTTTGTGGAGAAAAAATATGAAGAAAGAAACTTTGTGAACAAAATGGTAATTCTTTGAAAAGGTTCTTGTTCATTGTGTGAATGAGAAATGCAACATGTTGAGCAGATCAAGCTAGGTCTTCTATAGAACAAGGCTTTCTTTGTTGTCTGTCCTCATCACATTCACGTTCAATGAGATGATGATGTACAGTACATGACCTAAAGAGTACCTGATTTATTCCGTATGTTAACAATTCAATGCCGCTATAAATATAGATATATTGCAAGTTTTAATACACTCTCAATTAATGAAGTAAGGCGTCTTAATTGAACACAACTCCAAAAATCACAGCCACAAAAAAGAAACCCTTTTGAGTATGAGAAGAATTCTTATTCACTTCAGTTTTCACTGATTAAAGCTTTTGTGATGCTATGTATTTAGCCTTACATTGAATGGATGTTGAATATTGTTATATCAAAAGAAATCATTTTTATGAAAGTAAAGTGATAAGAAAGAAGAGAAAATGGATGAGATAAAAGACAAAAAAATATAATAAAAAACATTTTAAGTGTATTACTCGCATGAACTGAAAATGAGTGAAAGGAATCTAATGAGCAAAGTTTGAATAGGTCTTCTGCTATCACAATGGAGTATAATTGAAAGAGATTCGGTTTGATAAAAGAAAAAGGAATTAAGCATTTGTATCATTTATAGGCAGTGAGCTTTCTTTGTAGTCAGAATATGGTACTGGTTTTTATTTGTAATCGTAAGTCTATGTAAAGGGATTATAACACACTAATGTGATTGCTTCAATGCCCTTTGGTTGTGGGCAGAGTTTGATAAATGTTTTACCACATGATTTTTCTGCTTGCATTCCTCTATCAGCTTGTAGTTTCTCCTGATACGGTGAGTGATGGGCTTGATGTGGTTTATAATGAATCAATTATATCACTTTCTATAGATCACTCTCTGAATTCATTGATATCACTTTCTAAAGATCACTCTTTAAATTCATTGATATTACCTTCTATAGATCACTCTTTAAAGGGAAATCTAACCTTGATAGCAACATATTACAGAGGAAAGCAGTAAAATCAGTGATGCAGACTGGTGAAAGTTTGAATGAAATTGGACAAAAGCTGAGAAAGTTATGACTTATTAGAAGTTGTGAAATTGTGATCACTATAGGTATGGGCTCTTCAAATTGGCTGGATCTGTAATGTCTCTGTGATGTAGTGGAAAACTTTCCCACCCGTTGCAACACACAAAATAACCATAAAATTTTAATTTTTCAAAAATGTTTGAGTCTAGATAGTCTTTTCTCTTTAGAGGACCTGTAATCGTATCCATTATATATTTTTAGTAGTGCCTCAAGAAAGAAGGCACTTACAAGTAAAACAGAAATGATATTTTTATACACGAAAAACGAGAGAGTTATCCCCGTCCTACGTCACATGACTTACCTAACTGCAAATTTGGAATTTGCGTAGACTTTAATAGTGATCTCATATTTCATTCATAACTTTCTTATTATTGGTCCGATAAATCTCAAACTTTCCCGTTCTGTTTATCTTATTTTCCTTCTTTCATTAAAATGAAAATATTACGAGGGTTGGATTGCCCTTTAAAGAGTGATTCCATTTAATGTGTTCCATATGACATTTATCTATGTATGTCATCCACACAATCTCATGATATAACCATTGACTAATGATTCTTTCTAGTATCACTAACATTAGTTGTTGCCAGGTAGGACAAACATGGCTTGTCCTTTCTAACAACAAGTTAAGCCTCAGTCACAAATGCCATTACGAACTGCTACGAACGCCGTACGAACGATTATCGGACAATGGAAAAACGGGGAGATTCGTACGAACGCATTGTTCGTATGTATCATTTGCGTATAATTTGGTTACATTACAAAAATGGTCTTTTCAGCAATTTCTCTCTTAATTATAGCAGTTTGTCCTGAGTGAAGTAGTTGTAGACTCGGATTTCTATCATCATAGCGTTTCCGGACATCATCATCAATGATCTGTCATTTCATGACAGGTTCAGTGACCCAATCAGAATTCTACATCAAGTGTCTCTCCAAGTACCTCGGTCTTGAGCCATCCGTTTCAGCATTTCATATCCTGTTGCTCCACATTCTGTGATTAAATCATTTAGAAAGCCTTTACGAGGTCTTCCCCTCTTCTTCTTTCCGGACATGCCCATTTTAAAATGGCCACCTCCTTCATTTCATCTTCATTAGTAATTGAAAGTGTGATAGAAACAACATACCTATTACAACAGAGGACAAGCATCAAATGGATAACTTCAGTGAAACCTGTCTATAAAGACCACCCAGGAGAGACAAGAAAAGTGGCCTTTATAGGCAGGTGGTCTTTATGTACAGGTTCCTGTAGTACATGTTTCGATGAGAAACCATTTCTAAGGGAAACAAACAAGTGGTCTCTGTAGACAGGTGGTCTTTCTATACAGGTGGTCACTAAAGCATGTTTGACTGTACATTGATACTAAACCATCCTTCAAGGAAACACTAATACCCTTTTCAGGCTATAGGGAATTTACATGGAACATATATGGAGAAACATTGTATAATTAATTCATTTCATCTTCATTTGTTATTGAAAATGTAGTAGGAACAATAACATAGCTATGAGAACAAATGACAATTATCACACGGATATGAACATCGATACCACAATGTCCTTGAATGAAATATTCATATCCTGTTCATGATATAGGAGATTTAGATGGAACGTGTTTGGAAAAACATTGTATAAAGAATCATTGTATAGCGAAAGGGGTGTACAACAACAATGTACAAAGAAACGTTGTATAAAGTACCGTAACTAGTTTTTAAGAAGTCAGTTGACATGACAGCTTGCCATCAGTATGCTCGCACAATAAGCCTTGCCCAATCATACAATTTTTGTATGATACAATGTTAAGACTTGAGCACGATGCTGATTCTTTATTGCCTTTTTTCGGTCGAAACGATGCTCAAATGAGCGTTTTACTATACAATGTTTCACAAAAGGACGTTTCACTCAACGATTTTCTTTATACCTAGCTATATGATTTTCACATAGCCATATAAATTTTTGCAATCTGAACGCAAGCTGGAAGCCCTTCAAATTTCAGCCTTATCTTTCTTGGAAGAATTCAATACAGTATTTACTTACAAGTCTTCTATAAGTATTTTCCAAAGGAGCTGTGTTATATTTAATGGTTCATAGTCATTTTTTATTATCCTACCATTCTAACTTACATGTCCCAATCATGTTTTCTACACAAATACACTCCAATAACCTAACAACTTTTAAAGATAACTTCTTTGCTGTTGTGATTGATGTGTTTTACATTCACTGTAGACTAGCCTATTTACTACATCTTGTGTGCTGTGCAACAATAACCACCCCCCCCCCCAATAATTATGTAGATATATATTTATTTACTTACCGGTACTTGCTAAGGAAGGGATATGCAGGAAGTGAAAGAGAGAGATAGAGGGAGACAGACAGACAGACAGAGGGAGAGAAAAAGAGAGGGCAAGGCAGAAGTGAGCTGGTAGCAAAATAACAACCTCACATAATAATCTTTGTGAAGAGTATGTTGTCTTTTGGAGGTTATGCTCTGACACACCCTTTTCTCGTTGATTCTCCAATGAGAAATATTTTATGAGTATACTCATCGCCAATCATATGTCATCCATTTGGAGGCAGCCCTTAAACCTGTAAGGAGTTGGATTGAATTGGATATTTTGTGTTTACCTGACTACTTAGAAAGCATGTGCATGCTTGTATTTAAGCAACCAGGGGACCAATGGCTTTCCGTCCTCTCCGAGGGACATGGTAATGAGGATTAATGCCTTATTAAAGGGCACTGGTGCATCGACTTGTTTTCGAACCCGGGATCTCCCGGTTACGAGACCACCGCTCCAGGCTTTTTTTTAATTATTGGCTTAGGATTAGGATTGCAATTAGGTTTTAGATGAGGTTTAGGTCTATGGTTAGGGTCGGTTCTAGTTTTTGGTCTAGGGTTGAATATGATTTGGTTAGTCACGTTAGGATAACTGCAGAGCGATTTTCATTAGAGCATGTGTCGTACCTTTTAGACCCAAATGATATAAATTATTGTGGATGAAATGAAGGAAAAACGTTAATCATAGGACCTTGTTTTTGTATTTTCATTTAGTTACATAAATATGGTGACTTCACAGGATGAAAATGTCAACATCCGGCACTCCATTGATAGGTGGACTGACACTTAACACGTAGACAGGGTTGAAACCTGACCAATTTGTAATGATGGGTAGTGTAAGTAGGGCGATCTATTCAAATTTGTCTTTTAACTTTGGTTATTGAGCTTTTATCTTTGATGATCTGATCAATAGGAAGCATTGGGGTGAAAAGGATCAATACATTCCAAGGAGCCTTTAACTTAAAGATTGATTGCTAGAGATAGTTTTACATCCAGACCTTGCTGAATAGTATTCACTGGTTTTGAAGAGGATCATTTATTATTAACTGTGGGTAACTGCTAGTCTTGTCAGTTATTTTGTTCAAGGTCAGAGTTTGGATGAAAATAAATGTTTACTGATCAGTGCACCAAGATGCCCTATTTAAAACAAATTTTAATTTTCTTTAAAAAATAGCACTAAAACTTTAAGAAGACAAATTGATACTGTGGTCTTGATAAACCTACTTTCCCCTGTAAATACATGCAGTATTAGTTTGGGAACCAGTCTCTTCAATATAATATTTGCCTTCTTATCTAAATTGTAAGCTCAGAATGAATTGCATCTGAGATATTCAGACATAAGCCTGGTGATGTTACTAAACAGACCCATTCAAACTGAAATATATTTTGAAGAATTATTTTCTTTTTGGAGAGGGGTGTCCACAGTACCGGTACTAATACCTGAAGCTAGGCATGCTACCCTTCCCAACACACAATGTTTCCTCAAGTAGTGTGCAATTTTACCTTCAGCTAACCATTTGCTTGAAGATTTTAGGACTTAAACCTACAGGAAGTGGTTCAGTTAATTCTGGTTTTATATTATTTCATAGAACTAATCAGAGCTTGTATTTTTGTGAGTTTCAAGTTTCAGCATACATGTGGCTACTAGGCAACTAGCATCATTATAATATTGATCAAGGAAGCTTATTTTTGTTCATTTTGCAAAGATCATTTCTCTTCCAGTTTCATTCTAGTAGACTGAGCACAACATTATCTCTTTGTGCAATAGCGCCATCTTGTGACTCTTGCCATATATTGTTATTGCTATTTAGATGTATTATTGATTAGCTGCGAATGAGCAAAATCAATCATTGATCAGGACATGTGTTTTTATTAGCTACCAGTCTCTCTAGTCTCTACTGCATAGTGCAAGGTATGCAATCAACACAGTATTATACGGCTCTACGGAAGCTGTGAAGAATGGGGCACCTGGGAGATCGGTCGTCTACAAAGATGACAGAGACAAATAAAGTGATGGAGAGAAAATGGGGAAGAAAGATAGGGGTGAGGGGGAGAGTTAAGAGAGGGGGAGAGAGAGAGAGTTAGACAAAGAAAGAGAGAGAGAGAGAGAGGGAGAGAGAGAGAGAGAGGAGAGGAAGAGAGGGAGAGAGAGAGAGAGAGAGAGAGAGAGAAGAGGTTACATATACCTGTACGGTATGTAAAAAGCAAAAAAAATAACCCAAGAAATTAGCAAATGTAATGGGACAATAGCCTAGTTTGATTGTTTTTTCTTTGTTTTTGAAACGATAGTTTCTGCAGCATCATGGGTCTCCCATATGATTAATTGGGTCATTTTTATAATGCATTCAAATTCATATATCCCTTTAACCATGGAATACAACAACTCGTAATGGATGCACTTTATCAAGTGTCGAACG